ACATTAGATGTTGCCATGGTTTAATTGCACATAACATGTAAACATTCACAGTGCAGGGAGGAAAAAGTATGTGAACTTAATAACTTGGACTTAATAACTCGACCCTCCTTTGGCAGCAATAGCCTCAACCAAACATTTCCTGTAGTTGCAGATCAGACCTGCACAATGATCTGGAGTAATTTTGGACCACTCCTCTTCACAAAACTGTTTCAGTGTAGCAATATTCTTGGGATGTCTGGTGTGAATCGCTCTCTAAAGGTCATGCCACAGCATTTCAATCGGGTTGAGGTCAGGACTCTGACTGGGCCACGCCAGAAGGCGTATTCTGTGCTGTTGCAGCCATTGTTTTGTTGAATTACTTGTATGCTTTGGGTCATTGTCCTGTTGCATCATCCATCCTCTGCGGAGCTTCAGTTGGCGGACAGATGGTCCTACGTTTTCCTGCAAAATGTCTTGATAAACTCTGGAATTCATTTTCCCATCAATGACAACAATCCTTCCAGGCCCTGAGGCAGCAAAGCAGCCCCAAACCATGATGCTTCCTCCGCCATGTTTCACAGTGGGGATGAGGTTTTGATGTTGGTGTGCTGTGCCTTTTTTTCTCCACACATAGTGTTTGTGTGTTCTTCCCAAACAACACAATCTTGGTTTCATCTGTCCACAGTATATTTTGCCAGTAGTGCTGTGGAACATCCAGGTGCTCTTTTGCAAACTTCAAACGTGCTGCAATATTCTTTTTGGACAGCAATGGCTTCCTCCGTGGTGTCCTCCCATGTACTCCATTCTTGTTTAATGTTTTCCTTATTGTAGATGTGTCAACAAAAATGTTAGCATGTGCCAGAGATTTCTGTAGGTCTTTAGCTGACACTCTGGGATTCTTCTTTACCTCATGCAGCATTCTGCGCTGTGCTCTTGCAGTCATTTTTACAGGACGACCACGCCTAGGGAGAGTAGCAACAGTGCTAAACTTTCTCCATTTGTAGACAGTCTGTCTTACCGTGGACACATGAACATCAAGGCTTTTGGAGATACTTTTGTAACCCTTTCCAGCTTCATGCAAGTCAACAATTCTTGATCGTAGGTCTTCTGAGAGCTCTTTTCTGCGAGGCATGGTTCACATCAGACAGTGCTTCTTGAAACCAGTAAACCCAAAACAGGGTGTGTGTTTTTTAAGGGCAGGACAGCTGTCAGCAACACATCCAATATCATCACACTGATTGGAGTCAAGGTTGGCTCACTCCTGGCTCCAATTAGCTCTGGGAGAAGTCATTAAGCTAGGGCCTCACATACTTTTTCCTCCCTGCACTGTGAATGTTTACATGTTATGTGCAATTAAACCATGGCAACATCTAATGTTTGTGTAGTATTATGTTCAGCAGACTGTGTTCTTCTATTGTTGTGACTTAGATGACGTTCAGAGCACATTTTATGCCCAATTCATGCAAAACTCCACGTAATCCCAAGGGGTTCACATACATTTTTCTTGCAACTGTATATAGGTTGCAATCTCGATGGTGCAGCCAATGAAGTTTAATGTGGAATGTATTGTGCCAAGCATCTTGTCGTGCATATTAATACCTTCACTCCTCATTTGCCTGGTAAGGCAAGTATGGTTTAAATTTTGTTCACAAAATATTGTAATTTTTACTTAAGGTTGAGGTTTTTGCACATTCCATACTTCGTTATGTTTGTGCCATCAGCTACTATACATTTAACTAATTCAGGAGTAGAGTAACTTTTTGCTGTTCATTGTTATATCAGATTAACTTTATTGTGTTTTATTTCTGTACTGTCCATTGGAATTGTTTTTTCACAGGCACTTTTATACTGGAATACAGATTTTCATTCAGACAGATGCTAACAACCCACTATTTTCCACATCATTACCTTTAATTTCCTGAAGTAGCTGATGAGCCTAAATATAAAATGTGCAGTCTAAAAAGCCACTGTCTATGCACAACCCTTCTTAACACTACAAGTCTGTGTAATAGCACTTGTGATGAGGTGCGTGATCAATACTCACCTATGCCTGCATAGAACATTGTACTGAAAGGGCAGGAAGTTGATTTTCAATCAAACAAAAAAATAATTTTACGACTTTTCAAAAATAATTTAAATATTACATACCGAAGGAAAACGATAAAAAGTAAAATGGCTTTAAAAATTTGAGGCAGGTAATATTTAGAAATGTTTAACTTTAATTACTTTTATTCTTTTGTGAAATATTGCACTGGCAGACCCGATTCTAAATTGTAGCCAACTGAACTTGTATTCCAAAGTTGTATCAAAAGAACACAATAGAGATGCCTGTCATCTAAAATTACTTGTCAGCAGCATCATTTTAACACAAGATGATAAAGAATTGTATTCCATTTTTGGGGGGAACATATACATTTTGTTTTTGGTTGCACTAGGTTTTTTTTTTAAATGTAGACAGATTGTGAGATTTACAATTTTGCTTACAGTGATCTCCCACCTGATGGTGATAGCTTAGTTCTGGCACCAATGTTGCTCAGCACATCAAAAGGAACCTCTCCTCTTGCATCTCACATGATTGACCACCATTATAAAGGGGGCATTCTCCCATGAACCATCCAATCCAACTGACAACCAACATAAAATTAATTCTCCCATGAACCCCCATTTCTTTCATTGACTACTAACTGAAAGGGGCCTTTCTACCACTGATCAACAATGTAAAGGGATACTACAATCTTCAAAGCTTGTGTTTATATTCTGCCCATGATTATCTTCTGTTTTATTTCATAATTATTACTGAAAATACCTTTGCTGCATATGGCAGGGGCATGTTAAATATGATTTACTCTGGGTGGCAGATATGCTAGGTATTTCATGTTCTTATTTTATTTGTATTATAATATCTACAACTTACATGATGATACTAATGTACCGTAAATTGTAGATATAATCATATTTTGAACGGGTTCACCCGAGAGCTAAAACTATTTCAACGGTTCTTTCATGGTAAAAAGGTCACTCTAGTCAATGAGAATGAATGTGTAGAATGAAAGTGTTGACATTCTCTCTAGTTGTTACTTTTGCACAAGGCACAAGGCATGATATATAGCTCTTGTATTGTAAGGGGGTGTATTAACTTTGAAGTTTCTTAACTAATTTCACCATAGTAATTCTCATCTTCAACACCTTATTCAGTCCATTGTTTCATTACTTCCTACTGTCCCTTATTTAAAGGGCATGTTTCTCTTTTAGAAGCAAGTCCCTCTGTCCATTTTTCCTGCTCATTTGTCCTTTTTTTGGTCTGATATTTATATACCTATGTATTAATGTAGTGACAAAGTGGTTTTATTGTGCTAAACCTTTTATCCAACTTCTAAATATTGCAGTTGTTATTACACCATGTACCTAACTGCAACCAAAGACTGTTTGTAGCAATTCAATATACAGTAAGGGGAGATTTATTAAAGCTGGTTCACTCAGAATCTGCTGCACCTGTGCATTGTATCCAATCAGCTTCTAACCTCAGCTTGTTGAATTAAGATTTGGCAATAAAACCTGGAAGCTGATTGGCTTCTAAGCAGAAGTGAGCCTAATTTGTGTACTCTCCATGTTTAGTAAATAAACCCCTAAGTATGTTACTAGAATTGTGTTTTGCCTTCTTTTTTGAAGAACTGGTGAAAAGCCTTGAACAGCATGAATTTCTTTACTTACGCATTGAAAAACTACCACTTAGCTTATGTAGTTAATTTAGTAATGCAAATGCCTAAAAAAAAGCAAAAAACAAAACAAACTGCTAGGGATAGTAGACAACTCTGTGCCGAATCAAAATTAGATTTTACATTTTAGCAGAGCAAGAACTACAGTATATATGCATTGTATTTCATGTTTGTTAGCCTGGTACTTTAATCTCCCTCATCTTACATCCCCAGCGACTCTAATATATTACCCAAAATCAAATAAGAACAACTAAACAAGCATGCAGCAAGTGATAAGCAAGTGAAAATTTCTGATGTGCATACATGTTTGACATATTTTTGAAGCATACATATCTGATATGAATATAATTTACAAAGTTTTCTTTTCTGCACACCAATGGAGTATCTGTTAACACTATAACGTTTATCACCATTTACAACAGGTTTAGCTGTTTCAGGTCCACTGGGTGGCACTGTTAGGTCAGCATGGTAAAAATTTAAATCAACGATAAAAATTGTGTGTTAACATAAATAAATGACACCTGTTGATTTAGAGTAAATGATATACTGCAAAGAACACAGACAGGCAAGTCATACAATCCAGCTTTTTTCAGTTATGAAAGTTTAGGGCTTTTTTTGTAATTAACATTTTTATTGAGATTTCACAAGTATAAATGTACATGAAACTTTGAGAAAAAAACTGAGAAAAAAGAAAGAGGTTCAACGATGATAAAAAACATGTAAGGAAACAAAAAAAAAACATACAATGTCAATGAAAAATGGAAAAATAATCAAATCAGTACAAATTGAGCACATTGAGCAGAGATATAGGCATCCCACAGGTTCCATACAGTTTCAAATATGGATACAGAACTGGCATGGAGAGCTGTTAGGTATTCCATTTGTCTAATGTCTGTAATAATCTTAAATAACGTCGGCAGTGAGGGGGGTGTGGAAGAGAGCCAACACATCAGGATGCTTCTCCTGGCCGCCGTCAAAACATGAATGGAGAGTTTCCTGGACAATTTGGGGAGGCCAGGGAAAGGAAGGCCCAAAAGAAAGTAAAGGGGTTCAAAGGAAGGTCAGTACGTAGTATAGAACATAGCAGGGACCATACATCCTCCCAAAAGGGAATGATAGACCTACATTCCCAAAAAATATGGTAAAGAGAACCAGATTCTCTCCCACATTGCCAGCAGGCAGAGAAGCACCCAGGTTACGGGCATGAAGTATATCAGGTGTTCTGTACCAAAACATCATGATTTTATACACATTTTCCTTATAGACTACACATATGGAAGATCTAGAGGCGTTTTCCCATATCTTTTTCCACTGCACCAAATCAATGTCACAGCTGAGAAATTGGGACCATTTGCACATTTAGTGGTGAGCATCATTGGACAAGGGGTAGGCGTCCATAAGGAGCTTATAGGTAATGGACAGGGGCAGACTGACCGTTTGGAAACTCGGGCACTGCCCGAGGGCCCGGGGTCAGTAGGGGGCCCCATGAGATGTCCCTGGTACCTTTTTCTTAGGCTTTTTCAGTTTGGGCAAGGACACAGGGGCCCCATGAGTTGTCAGTCCGCCCCTGGTAGTGGAGATTATGCCCCTTTGATGTGGGCCCTGTATACATAGACGCTCAAAAGGAGCAGGCTTGTCAAGAGTCAAAGAAGGTGACAAGGTAGAAAAGAAATGACGTATCTGCAAATAGATGTAAAAATGCTGGGGAGGAAGATGGGTTTTTTTCTGGATAGCAGAGTAGGGTTTAAGTGCCCGGGTCACCAGGTGGATCAGATGGCGCAGTTGGAAGAGTTCGGCTGAAGCCCAGGGAAGCATATGGGACATGGCCAGACTGTCTGGAAGGATGGGAATAAAAAGAATATTGGTCAAAGGAGAACAGTCAGAGGCCAGCGCAAATTTAACCTTGTATCTCTTCCAAATAGACAGGGAGAATTGCATAGGTCCAAGCAAGAGATGTCGATACGAAGTGATATCCACCACCGTCATAGACCAGAGAAAGGAGCGTGGGTGAATTGGGGTTGGTTGTAGGGATTCAATCTCAGACCATATATTGGGAGGATGTCGGGCGGACCAAGAGAGTAGGAATCTGAGGTGGGTAGCATAATAATAAGTCACGTTATCCGGATCACCTAGGCCTCCCATGGAACACAAGGAGAGAAGTGCAGTGCGTGTGATTTTATGTTGTTCATCATGCCAGATAAAGCGTAAAAGGAATTTTTGAATGGAATGTAACTTAGACATAGGGATAGGAATGGGAAGAGTCGCAAATAGGTATAAGAGTTTGGGCAGTATGTTCATTTTTATCACATTGATGTGGCCAAGGAAAGAGATGGGTAGGGAAATGGCAATGAATAATGGAGGGAAGTTAACCTCGTATATAGAGTGGTATGAAGAAGTGAGGTTAGTACCCAAGTACTATAATGAGTGAGTACACCAACGATATGGGTAAAACAATTGGAGAAAGGACAATACGTCGGGTGGGATGTATAAAGGGAGTGCTTCAGTTTTGGATGCATTGACTTTATATCCCGACAGAGCCCCAAATAATTGTAAAGTGTTATGGAGAACTGGTAGGGAAGTAAGAGGGTGCGTTAATGTAAGAAGGATATCGTCTGCAAATAGGGACAATTTGTATTCATGCCCATGAGAATTTATCCCGATATTTATGGCGATAGCCAGCGGTTCCAGACAAAGGATAAACAGTAGGGGGAAAAGCGGGCAACCCTGCCGTGTACCGTTTGACATTTGGAAGGAGGGTGAGAGGAACGATGCTAATCTGACCTGAGAAGAAGGTGAAGAATAAAAAACTTTTAAGGCAGCCACAAATGGACTCCGGAAGCCAAACTTCTCCAAGACCATAAACATATAGGGCCAGCTAAGGCGATCAAAAACTTTCTGAGCATCTAAGCTCAGTAATATAGTAGGAGTTGAGGATCGGTTAACCAAATCAATCAAGTCAACGGACCTCCTGATGTTGTCCGCGGCATGTCTAGCCGGCACAAAGCCCACCTGATCCCTAACTATGAGCTTGGAGATGAATCTGGTCAACCTGTTGGCCAAGATCTTAGTAAATATTTTATAGTTGGAATTTAGTTAGCCGGGGTAGAAAGGTCTTTATCAGGCTTGGGAATTAAAGAAATATATGCCCGGGAAAATTTCACCTGGGGGCCGACGCCGTTTAAGAGATCCTGAAATAGGGAAAGAAGATGAGAAGCCAAAATGCCTATAAAGGTTTTATAATAGGAATAGGGTAGTCCATCAGGCCCTGGAGATTTGTGGGATGGGAGTTATCTGATTGTCTCGAATAATTGTGAAATGTCCGCATTAAGGGCTGAGAGGTGAGGGGGTGATAACGTCGGGAGGGATAGAGAGTCAAAAAAGGTCGAAAGACGCCTTTTGCCGGGGGGGGGGGGGGTGAAGATCTGGGGTCAAGCTGTTGTAAAGGTTCTTGTAGTATGTTCCAAAGATTGAGGCCATTACATGAGGGTCGTAGGTAGAGTCATCATCTGGTTGGAGTAGGTGATCAGGCATCGTTGAGGGAGATTGTGCTTTGAGCTGCTTTACGAGCATGCACTGTGGTTTATTAGAGAATTCATAAAATTTCTGTTTCCAAAGAAGGGACTGTGAAGATTTACGCAAATCGAGGGCTTTAACCTGGTCATGGAGAGAAGTTGCCCTCCGAAGCCCAGTAATAGACGGCTTTGCAAGTAAACAACGTTCACCCAAAGATAATTGGTGAATAAGGGAAGCCCCGGCAGCAGTAGAGGACTTTTTTAAACAGGAGCTTATAGAGATACAGAGTCCCCAAAAGACAGCCTTATGAGCCTCCCATGGGTCGTAGTGAGAAAAGTCTCAATGAGGTGCCAGTGACAGGCCTTCTGTAGGGAGTCAGGGAAAAGAAGATTCAAAGTCAGAGAAGCATGGTCAGACCACGTGATAGGATTGATTTCAGAAGAAACCAAAAGAGGGAGTAAAGGAGTCGAGACAAAAAAGTGGTCTAAGCGATGAGGAGAAGAATAGAAAGTAAATTGTTTGTGTAAGGGATGTTTAAACCCGCCAAGCAATCAAAGAGATGATGTTCCCTGATCCGCTTACGAAAAGATCTTGAGGAGGAACATTGTCGCTTCGAGTGGGTGGATTCAAAAAGGACCTTCTTGTCTTTATGGGGGGACATAATTAAATTAAAGTCGCCACCAATGATCATGTGTGGTGTAGAAAGGGAATTTAATCTGACGAGTGTTTGGGAAGGAACTACAATTGACCCACGTTCGGGGCATACAAATTTAACAAAATAAGAGGCGAACCTCCAAACATACATTCTAGAAGAATAAAACGACCCCGTGGGTTGACTCTGGAGGAAACGACCTGAAGGGATCAGTGTGTCCATATCAAAATGACTACCCCAGCCTTCCCAGTGGTATCAAAAGCCGAGTAGGATTGGGAGAAAAACCGTGAGGCAAAACGAAAAGAGCCAGTCGATTTAAAATGGGTCTCCTGAACAAAAATAACATCTGCTCCTGAGGACTGAAATTCCTTCAAAGCCATCCACCATTTTTGGATAGAGGTAAGACCTTTGACATTATAGGATAGTAACCGTAAAGTCATCATTAGGTAATAATACAAAAAGTAATTGTACCAGTATAAAGAGTGAATAAAACATCATCGATGAAAAAAAACTGGCTGCAAGGATGGGACTGTGGCTGAAGCTGTGAGATGCTCTGAATAAGGGTGGTCTGCTGCCCCCCCTACCACCTGTAGGTGCCTGGAATCCTTCATCTGGCTAGTCTCCTGGGATGGGACTGTGAGGGGCCCTGTGGAGGGCTGATCGATCCCTCCCCCGGCCGCCGGGTGCCTGGAGCTCCCTTGTGGGCTGGGAGCAGTAATAGAGGCCGGGGATGCCGGCCTAAACAGGAAGTGCTGTAGTGGGGAAGGCCGCGGGTCCATCAGCGGTGGTGAGGGGGGCTTCCAGCACCTGATCTTCCCCATGCTACGTCTCCGGGTGTGCGCTGGGCTTATGTGGCTTGCAGTGGTCAGCTTGTGGAGCGGACTGGGAGAGCCGGAGTGTGCCGGGGATGAGCGGAGCTCTGTCACTGAGCGTCCGCCATCAAGCACGGTCGCACATGCGCCCTCAAGTTCAGGGCTCTGTTCACACTCATGCACTGTAACATGTGTATTGCATGAAAGGCATGTTACCTGGCATCCCATTATTTTCAGTAGATCTGGGTCACATACTGTACACTTTATTTATTTTTATATATATATATATATATATATATATATATATATAAAATATATACACATACTAGTACCAGTTTAAACAGGATCCAATTAACCTACCAGCATGTCTTTGGAGTGTGGGAGGAAACTGGAGCACTTGGAGAAAACCCACGCAGGCACAGGGAGAACATGCAAATTCCAAGCAGGTAGTGCTGTGGTTGGGATTTGAACCAACGACCCTAGTACTGCCAGGTAGAAGTGCTAACCATTTAGCCACTATGCTGCCCCTATCATGAAAAATAGCTCAAGTGAATTTTTTTTATCCATCAATGTCTATTGAGAGGCTCACTGAGTTTAATAGGAATGCATGAAAACACACAATTTGCATGGCTACTGAGAAAAGCCATGTGCTCTTGACCTAGCTACATATGAAACATGGCAGACTCTTTTCACACCTCCCTAGATGCTGAGCACATAATTTAAAAAATGCAAAATGAAAACAAGCATAAGCATAAACATAAACAAGTACAAACAAGTCTTCAGAAGCCTTATTATTAGGTACCAATAATATGAGTTTCCCATAGGAATGCATTGAAAACCAATTAATCCGTTCCAGAGGTCAGAAAAAAATAAACACTACTAAAATACTGCATGAGTTATTTAATTAAGTCAGGTGGTATTTTAGTAGTGACAACCATGTGTTAATGTTTCAGCTATCAGCGGGGTTCCCCACCGACAGCTGAATGTAAAATAATTGCTGGCAATTAAAAAATTATTAAAAACGGCGTGGGGTTTCCCCTTACCATCCATACCAACCACTTCGGGTCTGGTATCAGATAAGGGTCTGGTGCATGCATGGGAGGGGGGATCCCCACTCCATTTTTGTAAATTTTGGTGTGGGAGTTCCCCTCAAAATCCATACCAACCCGAAGGGCTTGGTATAGATGGGAGGGGGGACCCCACGCCGTTTTTTTTTATTTATGATGGTGCTGGGTTTTTTTTCTTTACTATAGCTCAGAAATTCAGCTGTCACTTCCCCCCCAGCTAAAAGAGAAAAAGTTTTCTTTTAGTTTATTTCCCCAAGTTAAAAGAAAAATATTTTCCTTTTAGTATCTTAAAAGAAACAAAGTTTCTATAACTGCGGGGAAAGTGACAGCTAATCTTGTGAGCTATAGTGAAGAAAAAAAAAAGCCGGCAATTGCATTTAAAAATCAGCACCGACATACACTTCGTATTGTGAAAAACATTTGTA